GCTTAAGTCATCATAGTACTTAGGAGTGCAGTCTATGACGTAAAGTTCTTATCTTAAAAGGTACAAAAGATGTTTTAGTAAAAGGTAAAAGATACAATAAGCACAAGGGTTTTTCAACTTAATTTGAGGATTAATTTTTTTAATAACAAACAATAAGACTAACTTTAAAAACACAATTTAGATTCATGACGTCATAGGATATGGGGTGCAATAAGATCTACCATTGTTTAAGCTAATGTCTCAACTAAATACAAAATTGAAAATGCAAAGAGGTAGGATTCAAATGGGAAAATAACTATGGATATGGATGAACAATATATAGATCTATAATTGGTAAGTTTATCACAACTAGAGTATTTGTGTATACCTATTGTGTTAGAAAATGAATAAGGAGAAAAATGTATAATTCAATATAAGTTATTTTTATTAGTTAGAAGTGCTAAACAATACTCTCTCCCATCGATCCAATTTATACGACACACAAGCACATTAGTATTCAAACTTTATTTTTTAAACAATGATATGTCCAATAATTTTTACCTACTATAATATAGTCTTGATGCGATTAGATTTGTAATGAAATACTATCCAATAATCATAAACAATACAATATAAAACAAATAAATGATCAAACTACTACTCTCTTCATCTTCTGTGTGCTAAGCCAAACATGTGTATCTTTTATCATCGGTTTAAAAAAACTATATAGGTTCATGACCTAAGATTTATGTTTTAATTTAGATTCACTATGAAAAATGATTTCACAATGTATAATTCATATGCTACGAAACTATAACATTTTTTAGAATGAATGGTTAAAGATAGTAATGTTTGACTCATGAGAAAGTTAATGTGACATGTAAAAAAGAATAGAGGGAGTCCTTATATCTTCCAAGGTTCTAGCCCATGCGAGAGCACGGGTTGATGGACTAGTTCTCTCATAATTGTTAGCACAAGCACTCGAGTAGACTCGTCATTAGTTTTAATCTACATCGCATGAGTTCAATAGATTGCAGTTCCCTAACATGTTGATTTGTTAGCACTTAGCTTGTTCTATTAGAAACATACTTGTTCCTCAAGATTGATATTAAATTTTGGAATACTTCTGAGAAAAAAAATACAACACCGCTAAAAACGTGCATAACTGATGCTAACACCCACCCAGTTTTGAGTATCCAATATAGCATGATTGTTTGTATTTTCGGCTAATTATTCATTTAGAGGTAGGTAGTGTGCTCGTTGACAGTGTGCAACCTATAACTTTGGACGATTTGCAGCTAGTAGATTTATTCAGCGATCATGCCATGTGTTTGAATTCATCTAGGAATCAAAACTTTGTACATAGCTAGATGTATGCTGCTCTAACTCGTATGGGTATGTGAGATTTTAGAGATTTACAAATGATCGTGTTATGCATTATTCCTATTTGTTTTGAGATTAAACTCTGTGCCACGGCTGAATACTCTACTCTAACTTGTATAGACACGAGAGAGAATGGCAGACCATGGAAACACTTGGTAGTCCAATTTGTTATGGAATCAAACTCTACACCATGGTTGGACACACTAACTCGTACGAAGCATAGGAGAGAATTAGGTCCGTTGGATCTCCATCAGACGGTTGTAAGCGACAAAGGACAACTCGCTTACTGGCGCAAAGAGTCGTTAGTGTGTACTGCTAACATTGAATGTACCGAAGCAACTCGCTCACCGGTGCAAAGAACTAAAAATTCCCTGTACATCGTTTTTCTGTTGACTTCATATCCCCTTGCTTCTGTATCTCGCAAGATCAAGTCCAAGTCGGAGTTTGATGCTTCCACTCAATCGCTGCAACGCCATCCCCATGCATGCAATGCAATCATCGTGCGTGCATGGCATTTGCAGCCTCCAATCCAAATCCAGCAAGAGGACAAGGCACAAATTCTGCCGATCTGCGTGAAAACGTTAGTCCGTCCGAAAGGGGCGCGAGCCTGCTTCTCGTTGGAGACAGGAGTAAACGGCGGCGAATATCGACGATCGCGACCGGGTAACTCAGCGTAACAACCGACCAGAGATGGATACGGCAAATGTGCGACGTTTGCCGGAAAAGGGAGCTGCTAAGGTTGTCGAATTGGGAGGCCGGAATGCTTCTCTTCTTGCCAGCTGCATAAAAGGAACCGACCGGCGGATCGATGGTCATGTTCGCTTCTCTTATAATCCATCTTCTTCAGCTTGTTTTTCAATCGGAACAGTGTTTTCTCTCACAACAAATCAGCCGGAACAGTATTTCGGCTTGTCTTTTTAGCGAAACGAACGGACCGATATGGAGGACCATTGCTGTCCTGCTCCTGCCCATGGGGATGGGGACCCTGTGGCCCGTGTCGTTCGGAAATGCAAGCAAGACTACTGCGCACGTAAGGGACAAATCCAAAGTATATTTGAGTGGTGCGTGTACAGGCTCATGGAGAAATCATTCAGTTCAGCAGAGCACAAATGTACAAGCTCATGGCAATTAAATTCTATTTCCAAAAGGTGGGTTTTCAACTTCGAGATGGCACAGTATCGTGCCTCAAAATCTCAAATAATCAACCACGCTGCTTTTGGGCGGGCCCTGATCTATCCATCAGGTGATATACACAGTACGCAGGTAAATGCGAGCAGTTCAGCTACTCTAGAAGCAACACCTGGAACATTTGCAGCAAAGGTTGCAATCCTGATAGATCTTCCTTAAAAAAAAGCTGGTAGGTGGATTGATCGAAGCACGCGCTTTCTCACGGAACAGGCCTCCGTTTTGCGAGACACCATGCGTGACATCCAGTGCAACCTGCGCAGGTCTTTGCGTGCGAGAGTCCAAAGCTTAATATCCCGACGGTGATGGATCTAATCTAAAAGTTGAAAAAGCTTAGGCACGGTCGCGAAGCACCGGCGTTTAACCCTGTCACAGATGGCAAAGTTCGCCACCGACGGATCACGGGGCGCGGCGTGGGTTGGTGCGGCGTGCGGCGCACCGCGCACCGGCGCACGGCACGAGATAGGAGGGCGCGCGCGGCGCACGTACGCGGCCCGAGCCACGATTCATGCGTCCGGCAGAATGAATCCGTGTGCCGTCGTCATCGGGCTCTTGCGGCATGCAGCTCGCCGTGTGTGCTTGCTGGCCCGTTTCCGCACAGAGGTGGGCTTATTGTGCTTCTTCGTCCTCCAGGGCCGCGGCCCGCTAGGAGTAAGGGCCTCACACCAACAGAGTACATGTTCACCGGTCCAGCTCATGTTTCTCAAAAAAAAGTAGGCCAGCTCATGACCACGGAAGTTCATCCGTCAATTTCCTTTTTTTTTCAATCACGTCAAACAGAAAACTGGCTGGAACGTCTATTCACAGAAGTACAAATAGATCCAGCCATATTTATAGTATGAATATTTTGTGTCATAAATACTGATAATATTTTATATAAACTTGACCCCCAAATTTAAAATAGTTTGACTTCAGAATAAAACTAGAATAGCTTTCTTTTTTAGTTAAGCTCTTTTTTTTTGCAGTGAGCCAATAATTGTGATGGGTAAGTTACAACATTTATGTTTGCGTATTAAATTTATTTTCTCCAATTAACATGGTAATTTGAGGTGTCGACAATTAACATGGTAAATTATTTTGTTGGCCAATTAGGCAAGTACAAAAATAATAGATAGATTAACTTGTTCCTGAATGGTATCATAAGAGAGGGAGTATTGTATCTCATTTAGACCTTGTTTGAATGCGCGTGTATTCATCTCAATCCACATATTTTGAAGTGGATTGGAATGAAAATTCAACTAAGTTCCATTCCATTCTACTTCAATACACGTGAATTAAAGTGGATACACATGCATCCAACCGAAGTGAGATTGGCACGATCGTATCCTATCCTTAACCAACACGGCCACTTGCTACGTCCACTATACGCGCATCAAAGATTCATTCTGCTACTTCCACGCTTTGGAAAATTGCAAGTCCACTGCTCTCAGCTCTGCCTATACGCAGACCTCCAAATGCAGCTAGGCAGCTAGCCATTGTCACACGATATCCGGACAGATGAATCGACGCGAAACAAAAGCGCTCTGAGCTCAACGCCACAACCCGAGATCTCAACTTGTGTCAAAATTCGGGAGTTGCAACGACTCTCGATTCATGTACATGTGACATACAACAAGACAGAGCAATGTGACATGAGCTGGGTGGTGGTAGGTGTTTGTTGATCCGCAGGGAGATGGAACTAGTAACCTAAAATATTTGGATCTCAGGGAAGTCAACCGTATCCCTGCTCATGTGAGGAGCGGCAAGCGGGAGGAGATCGTACGTTCTTGCATTGGCGGCGTCAACTAACTTTTATTCCCACTAATCATGTGCAGTGCAGTCTATGTGTAGATGGAATCGTACTTGCATTGCCTCATTCAGAATCGCGTCATCACCTTCGTCAGCTTCCTCGCCACTCGAGCTAGCTATGTGCAGCAGTGCAAGTTTAAGTTCGGATGATGCCTCTTCACATTCAAATCTGAAACCAAACTGACAGCCAATCAGTGTTTTACTTACTATATACAGAGGGGAAGAATGGACATGACTGAAATGCTCAGCGGCGACAAATATGTTCCAGTTGTTCGAGTTTAAGTTCGATAAACATGTGGATGTTCTTGTTATGATGGTGTTTCTGGTATAGTAGCTTTGATGTGTGATCAATGCTACTGCCATGTATTAGCGTTCCTATCCCTTTTTTTTCAAAGGGTTTCTGAATTCAACCTATTCTTTAGTTCTTTACCAATGTAGCGTATTCATGCCCTCAAAAACAAAAGCTTTGATTCTTTTTAACACAGGAAAAGAACACATTTCTTCCTTTCAAAAAAAAAAGAGAACACATTTCTGAACATGTTAGTGCTGATTATGTCATTCAGCGCAATGCAACCACATGCAGAGTAGAAACAGCATATTTCTGAACGCCTCCCCCCTCACCTCTGACATTCTGTTTCTCAATGCTGTGCGGCGCGGCATGCCTGTCAGGCGTTGGAGCTCAACCCTCTCGCCTCGCACGATCGCATCACCCTCATCCTCTTGCACGAGGACACGAACATCCTGCAAACCAGATACGTGCATTTGCCATTTGTTAGAGCCCAGTACCATCTCTACTCTAATCGTCCAAATAATATAATGGCACTGCAGTTTCAGCGAGGGTGCTTACTCCCACGGCACGTCGCCGACGAGCATCCAGTCGCCGTCGCCGTCCTCGTACACCACAGCGTGCTCCCAGTCGCCGTACCCGTCCATCAGCCCTGCAGGAAACGAAACAAGAAGTGCAATTCTACATCAGTTTCCATTCTCCTTGTGTCTTATATATGCAAGAGCGACGTCGATCTGCTTGGGTTTCTGATCGATCTCGCGCAGCATAACACTAGCGCCAAGCAAGCTTAGCTTACCGATTGAGCAGCAGCAGAACAGCTCATTGAGCGCCTCCACGAGCTCGCCGTAGTCGTCGTACGCCGCCACGTCCACCTTCCTCAGGTACGGCGTCCCGTCCATGCTAACCTTCACGAACGCTTGCATCCTGCTCGCAATCGGCCTCGGCCGGTCAGACAGAAACAGAACCACGTGCATGCCACCCACACCAGTCAACATGCGACCGGGTCAACCGCGAGAAATGCGGCAGGAGCAGGACCGAGGAGAGCTAACGTACATGGCGGATGACGACGACGGCTGCTGGTGCTGGCCGTTCTTCCTGGCTCGTCTCGCCTTGCGCGCATTGACGCCGGGTGGCCCCAGTGTCAGCTCGGTGAGGTCCACGCCGTCGTCGCCGTAGCCCGCCATGCGTTCCAGGCTCTCAGCTTCGTCCGTCCCGGTCAATCGATGGCGGCCTTTGTACGTCGTCGACGACGAACGGCGACAAGCTGTGGGACCTGAGGTGGAGCTAGCTAATCGTGAAGCTTGAAGGTGCTGGAAGCTCTGGGCGGCACCCGTACATATATCCGGCGGTTTGGCGCGCGGGCAGGCACCGCAGCCGGCCGGCATGAACCCTGGCACGGTGTCCTTCGTGGGGCCGACCGGAAGTTGCCAGGTAGACGCCCTGGTCTCCTGCCTCACGTCGCGTGCCATCGTGGCTGCCCGGACCGGAATCTGGTGTGGCGTCATTGCTGTGTAGCCAGTGCTCAGGCTCTGGTTTGTGGGTCAGAGGCAGCCTAATCATATTTACGGCCAGCTTAATGACATTCTGTACGATTGAGGGCCAGTATATTCTTGACAGGTAGCACTATAGATTTCAGTGGCGAATCTAACGGAAGACTGCAGTGGCAGACTATGAGTACAACCTGGTTACGAATACATTACTCTGAGTAACCCTGAACAGGTACGTTTCATACTTTTATTAATTATTACTAATGTTCAGAGTTGTTTTAAGGAACGTCTTCATTCATTCATACTGTAGCTGCCAATATCAGTACGTAGAGTAGCTATTTCCACACATGGCCGGCCAAAGGAACGTATTGCCATGGTCCATGGAAGCCGCCACAGTAGATCCGGATTCTGGCGAGGGGGTAGGGGACAGCCGCCCTCGCAAGGCCGCAAGTGGGCGCGTGGGAGCCGGCTACGTGCATGTTCCCTCCGTGACACTGGTTCACGCCGCTGGAGACCCGAGTCGCGTATGTGCATGCACGCAGACGCAGGCGGCAGGACGCAGCAGCGACGTGCCCGCACCCGGACCGCACGAAGCCAACTCGGCTTCCTCCTCCGCTGCCCGTGTTTGTTTCGCAGCCCGCGGCAGCCGCTGGTCCCCGCGCGCGGTGCCGGGCGCTGGCTCGACAGCGCGAGGCCTCGCCGCCGCCGTGTCCGGCAAAGCGCGCACTGCTCCTCGCGGGACACGAGCATCGTGCTCCGCGCGCGGAGCAGCAGGACCGGCGGGCGGTAGTATAGTTCCATTCCATGCACCGGGTTGCCGGCCTACGTGACCGTGCCTGTCTCATGGCAAGCGCGCGACTGGTCACTCTGGGAGGGCCGGCCTACGAGACGAGCAGTGCCAGTGCGGTCCTGGCGCGCGCCCGGTGTCGTGCCCCTGCTGGGAGAGCAGCGGGTGCGTGTGGCGGCTGGTCATTTGTTTGTGCGCGCGCCTCCCCGAGACTACACGCGCGGCGGTGTGCGATTGTTCGCGGCTCCCGCTGCCGGCAGAGGATTAACCTCGAAGTTGGTGGCCGGAGTGGCATGGGTTGGGTTCAACTCGAGTTTTGTAAGACATCCAAGAGCCTTTTGATGAAAACCATGTTTTGACTGAAAACTGTACTTCAAAACGAATGTTTGACCAGCACACTCGCGCCCTCAGTGGCACGAAACGTGTCGACTGGACCCCGTTGGGTGGGCACTAGGGTAATCCAAAGATTTGGGGTCGAGTAATTGAAAATTCGGCCATTTGAAATTACTACTACTCGATGTCTGTCCTGAAAAGGCATTTCCCAATAATTTGGGTTAGGGTTTGAGTTTTATCCAAAATTGATAAAAACAACAATTTTGACAGAATTCTTGTGCCATTTTAAAGCAATAAGCATTAGCCCTTCAAATCACTTCATGTCTTCATATTAATTGTCAACAAATCAATGATCAAATAATAGATTTATACTGCACTGAACCATTTCATGTCTTCATATTATAAATAGAAGAGGAATATTACTAGTGCAAATTGGCTATATAGATAGTTTGGGTACTAGGAAACATTACCCTAACTAAATTTGGGTTTTTACAGTTACTATATGAAATTATAATCGAGCATTTCCGGTCTTGGTACTTAGGTTCTGGGTTTGGATAATTCGGGTTCAGGAATTGGTATCGGGTATTTTTCCACCTCGGGGACCCCTAAATGCACTCCCATTCTTACGTCTCAACATGTAATTTTAGCTATTCTGAGATATATTTGCCCATAGACTTGGGACAAAACATTCAGCTACACTTGTCTATTTGGGATAGTAGAATGGGACTTTCTTAGGAATAAAATTGTTGCATCGTTGTATGTATGAGATATGCTGCCAAAACTCCGTAAGCTAATGGAAGAATAAAAATGCTTGATTATAGGAGAATATGCCGGCCAAACAAACAGTACAATATGGATTACTTGTACATGAATACAAAAATACTAATTGTACCTAGTGGAAGATGATGTAGCACTATCAAGGAATGGTGGGGGTACTTGGGTATGACACATGGATAGCTTCATGTTGAGATTGAAAGTTAGTTGGGTTTACCTTTATTAGATGGATATCCCGTACATTGCTGCGGGAATCACATATGGTTTGAAAATGGAATTATATTACTTGTATTTACTTCATGAATGAATAAATATCAGAATGCATGTCAGTGGATGGTGTAGCATGTTGGTATGAACAACTAAATGTATGTTAGTGGACGACGTGATTTGATGACGTGAATAGCTTGAATGAAGACATAATTACATGGGCCACTGGGTTGTCATAAATCACATGCGGGCATGGTCCATGGTTGCTGCTTCCCTTTGTCCACAGGCTATTTTCTTGTTCCTAATCTTTTGCAAAGGAAAAATTCCAAACACCAAATAAACAATAACAGGCTAATGTAGTGGCTCTAGAGATTTTTTTTTTTTTGCAAAAGAAAAAAATATTTCAATCATCCAAAGATAATAAAAATATTAGAAAACTAACTAATGGCTTATCTTCAAAGTGTACAAAGTAGATGCTGTCGGTAGCGAAACCGGCCATGGCCATGCAATAAGATGTGAGGGCACCATGGCAGAAGCTGACAGAGCTGGGATTTAGCAACGGACAATGGTGACGATCATGCTGAATGGAATCATCATGTCGAGAATTGCTTCTGCCACTGCGAGACCCAGCCTATTGGGCCAAATTACGGTCAGACCAGGTTAGTGCTGGAGTTTAGTACCATATCGTAAATTCAAGGTCCACCAGATCAGCTTAAATAGCCAGGCCAAGGATACGTAGTAACCTTTGATTAACCGTTTTGCGCGAAGCGAAGACGAAAGCGCAAGCGTGTTGCTACGTAGGTGGGGCCCACCCCTCGGCAGAGTGGGCCTGAGCCATGTGCCGAGTCTGGGGTGTTACAAATGGTATTCAGAGCCAACTCTCGCGGTTTCACGCTTCGTATGGTCTGGAAAACTGGAAATCTGGAAATACGAACGTGATCAAGAGAGTCGATTCTGAGCATTTGTCTCGTATAGGTAAGCTGGTTGAATAACTCGACGAGGACGTCGACTCTGGTTGAATAGCTCAACGAGGACCTTGAATCCATTAAAGGTGGGTGGATGTGAGACCTACCATAGGCCGGATTACGGTTGGGCCAGGCTACTATAGCGCTAATGTGAGACCCACCATTGAAATTTACCAGCTACTATACCGTGAATTCCATAGTCCACCGCACCAGCTTAAATAGCGCTAAAATTTAGTACCATACCGTGAATTCAAGGTCCACTAGACCACCTTAAATAGCCAGGCTAAGGACGCACAGTAACCTTCGGTTAACGATTTTACGTGAAGCGAGAACGAAAACGCAAGCAGGTGCCAGGCCTGGGGTGTTACAGCTACACTGGTTAAATGGAGGTTGGGTATAGAAGCTTTGATTGCCAAGGTGGATAAGTGGCAGTCGCCCACCGCCACCAGCCCGCCGACGCCCGGCCACGGCGCCGGTGCACGCGCCCGCGAGCGCTCTTCCACCCACCGCGTTCTCCCCGCCGGACCCAGGCGTGAGCGCTCCTCCACCTGTCGTGTCCTCCCCGTCGGATCCTTGCGTGAGCGCTCCGCCCGTCGCGGCCTCCCCGTCATGCGTGAGGTGAGAGTACGAGAGCATCGGTAAGGTGACGGAACGGAGGCCTTCGATGCCCGATCGAGCTGGGCTAAAAAAAAGGATTCGTTTTTCGTTTCTTCAGGGCCTGGCTACCATGGGTCTGTTTGTTTGCCTGCACGTTGTGGCCTTGGTTGTTTTTCTCTACGGAGTCAGGCTGGACAGGGATCTTGTTTGTTTGCCTGCACAGCAGTATATGGTACCTTGGAGTTGGATGTGGTAGCACTCTTTTCATTGGCATTACATCGAATAGAGGAAGGTCTAGGCGAGCAATGGAGCAGAGCAGCACCCAGTACCCACACCCACCCCAACAGCAGGAAAGCAGAGAGAGAGAGAGAGAGAGAGAGTAGCAATGGAGGTCGCCTTTCCCTCCACGCTCCACCTCGCCGCCGTTCCGCTCCTAACGCCGCCGTATTCGCCGCCCCATCAGTGCGCCACCACAGCGCCAGATTCAGGCCGGGGAGAAGAGGTAGGAGGAGGCGGCGTCGGAGGAAGAGCAGGCGGAAGCGGCGTCGCAGGTGCTCGAGCTCAAGGTCCGGCAGGCTCCTCCTCGTCGAGCAGGGCGCGCCGCGGCCCTCCTCTCCTCCGGCGCTCCTCCTCGAGCAGGGTGCGCCGCGGCGGAGGAGCCGACGATCGCGCAGTATAGCAGGAGCTTGGCCACCGGCGGCGGGGTGGATCGGCGCGGTGGTGGTGGTGGTTGCGCTGACGAGATCCGCTTCTATCCGTGAACGCTGGGGAGAAGAAAGAACGATTTAACTTTTTACCATTATAATAATCGACACCTCCCGAAATCTCACTTTAACACTGCCGATACGAATTTGGCACGCAACAAAGAGAAGAGATACAAAATTGCCACTTTTGCACTCTTGGCACGACAGCGCGTCAGCCCAGGTGGGATCCGAAGTAGCATGGCGATGGCAAATGACCGCGGCTGCCCCTGCCCCCATCCCTCTGTAGCATGGCGATGGCAAAAAAAAAAGAAGACGATGGTGGACATAGTGGTTGCCCGCGCCGCTTGCCACGCCCGTCTGCGCGAGCTTCCTTAAAATCCTCAGATTCTCAAAAAGAAGAAGAAGACGATGGTGGACATAGTGGCTTGGCTTACGGACCGGACGGGGCAACTTGCTTGTTTGCCCCCGGCGGCCATGGCAAGCTGCGGACGCAGACGAGATTTAGCGAGTTCTACCCATGGCCATGACAGCTCGACACGAAGAGCTTGGCCCAGAGGCGAGCCTCGACCTCTACTCGAGCTCCGACCATGGGCGAGGGGTGAGCTCCAAAACACAGCTCGCCATGGCGAGCGCAGCGCATGGCCCAGGCGAGCTTCGGCCCCGCAGACGCCATGGCCTTTGAGCATGAGGCTTGAGCAACAGACGGCCCCAAAGAAGTTTCGGCCCCGTGCCCATGGCGAAGCTCGGCGCCATGGCGGTAGCCATAGGGAGAGCTCGGCCCGGTCATGGCAAGTGGCGTCCCCTGGACGCACGAGAGTTGCCATGCCGGCGCATGAAGCCTGCTCGTGCCATGCAGCTACAGACTACCCTAGCGAGCTCGGCCCCTGTCAAAGCCAGCGCGAGCTTCGGTCCCTAGCGACCATGGCGCCAAGGCGCAAAGCTTCGTCCCCTGCCGGAAGCGAAGCTCAGCTTCGCCTCCGGCCATGGGGAGGCGGCGTGGGATTGCCCTGAAGAGCTCGGCCCCACCATGCCATGGCGAGGCGTCATGGCCATGGGGAGCTCGCCCGCCCATGATGCGGCAGAGAGGCGAGGGCAAGCGGTCATGGTCATTTGCCACCCCCATGTTGCCTTGGATCCCACCTGGACTGACGCGCTGGCGTGCCACGAGTGCAAAAGTGGCAATTATGTATCTCTTCTCTTCGTTGCGTGCCAAATTTATATTGCCAGCCATTAAAGTAAGATCTGGAGGTGCCGATTGTTATAATGGTAAAAAGTTAAATCTCCCCCGCATGGGGGTGAGGGAAACCAACAACACGCGTCCAAGCCAGTCGGGCTCAACGGAAACGGACTTAACTTAGGTTTCTCCAAATGCAAGCCCATGGGTGCTTTAATCACCGTTCGGACGAGGCTCTGAAAGAGTTCAGGCAAACAAATATGGGCCGCTGCACCGCCAGGGCATGTCCCAAAGGCCCGTCAACACGCCCCATGTGCTTTAAGCACCGTGTCGCCCTGGCCCATGAGGTCGTCCAGGCTATCAAACAGCAGAAGTTGCAGCCCATGGTCCCTTCAGTCAGGCAAACAAAGTTGCTCTCTACTAGAGTCTAGGCCTCTCCCTGCGTGATTGGATTTTGTTGGATGTATTTGGATTTTAGACGACCTTGATAGGATTGGATCGTGGGCACTTTTCATTGGAACAGACTGGACAGTGGATGTTCATTAGTTGGATTCTGATGTCGACTTGTTTATTTGTATTTGGATTTTAATCCATTGACAGGTCTAACTATCTTATCAAAAACTTTATTAAAACACTGTTTGCTTGAACTTATCAGTCTAGTCTTATCAGCCATGATATAGTGTTTTTTTTTCTCTCACAACAAATTAGCTTCAACCAGCTTATCAGCCGAAACCATCTCGAGCAGCTCCTGGTGACCCTATTTTTTATGATTCGGGTGAAGTTGAAGCAGCCAGTTACGCAAGTGAGGTGGAACGTGAGTTCAGCTGATCTCTGTACTACGAATCGTTTTCGACATTGATCGGCACTTGGAGATATTAGCTGCTTTGGTACTTCTAATAATGGAACTCCTATAATTGCCTCAACGCTGTAAACTGGTGGCCTTGTTGTAACCACGTGTCACCATACATGACGCATGCTCCTACCAGCAACTGAACTGAACGTATGCCACCACAGAAAAATGGTGGCAAAAATGGTGGCCTTGTTGTAGCCACGTGTCACCATACATGACGCATGCTCCTACCAGCAACTGAACTGAACGTATGCCACCACAGAAAAATGACCGGTCTACATTAATCTTTTGTACAGTTTCTAATGGCACACAATACTCCGACTCCGAACTCCGAAGCACAGGCGACAGCAGCTGCGCTTCTGTATATGAGTTCTGACAATCGCAAGTTCGCAACTAGAATGCAATTGACAGTAAATACTGTCTAGGGCCGACAAGCCGAATTGAGGCGCGGTCGTTAGCTCCAACTCTGCCAGAAATATACTTACTAGTAATAGTAACAGAGAGACCACTGAATAACCCCATTTCGGCCCCCATGAGCTCCTATAGAACAGTAGACGTAGTTGAAATGTACATTCCGATCTTCCAAAGTTTAGTTGCTGGCGTCTCTTTCGGAATTGCTTGTCGGCACCACCCCTGGAGAGTCATGGTTGTTCACACTAAGATCTACCCCGTGAGTCTGGATTTGCCATCAGGAAGAACAATTGTTACAAGATATGAAACTCTAATGAAAAGCGCGCTATAAATATAACAAGACATCAACCGCAGTGAGCATGACAGACCTGGGAATTTGATCCTTGCCCATGAGTACGAACTGGCCGCATATTAAGATCGATCATTTTCGAATCAATGTTGTCCTGGTCATCGCAATTGCCATCAGAGGCTGGATCATCGCCGTTATGGTGGTTTGCCATCTGCTCCTTGGGCGCCTTCTTCTGGTCTCTCTGGTTTTCAGGATCTTTGATTTCCATAGGCACGTCATCCATATGCCCTGGTTTATCTCCTGGAAACTAGTAATAGCTCGATATTTTGAGAACTATAAAAATACAGGGAGTAGCAATCCAGATTGGTTAAAGAGTAAAAACTTACTTCAACCCTTTGCCTTAGGAGCAGGTATCTTCCATGGGTTCGTTTGCCACCAACATGAACAGTCATATCACAGCTCAGGCAAAGTGAGGTGCCATCTATCTCACAGTAGAAGAAAGCTACATTGACAGGGCAAACAATGTGAACCCAGGCAAATGAAAGATTTATTAATCTACTAATTGTAAAATAGGGGATTCATGAATCAAAAAGCATACCGGGTGAATTTTCACATATATCACAACGGGCAAGTTTATTAGGGTCTGCAAGTCCAACTCTCACATGCCGACTAGCAAGCTTGTTACACATGTGTACCTGCATCAAAAGGGTATTGCTATAGACACCACTTTTGTCAAACAAGGAATCTTTATTCGATATTGCAGGATGAATCCACAACTAAAGATAACTCCAGATTCCATCAGTTTAATACTGAATCAAATTATCTAGTTTTCCATCCTCATGTATGTAACAATTTGTCATCAGCATATAAGGAACACACACACACTTCGTGTGTTTTTTCTCAACAGGACACAAGTAGAGGTCCCGTACACACTGCTTGGCAAACGAATCAAACCATTTTGAAATGTGAGCTCAAAAAAATGCATCACGATGGCACAGCAACCTGGGAACTTTTGTTGAAAAAAAAAACTGTTCCAGAATGGAATCTCTATTCTTGGTAGTAATACCTACAGCTAGAATCATCCCAAGCATGCCAGACTCACACTTTTGTTCAAGTATATATGTTTTGAGTAGGAAAAAGATCTAAAATATAATTCCAATCATCCAATGTCCTACTACTAGACTGGATTTCAATTGTAGTCCCAATATGGTTTATTTGGATAGACATGGATTTAACTCAACCTCATAGGATCGGCGTGTAAGCTAGTTCTTTTGCCTCCAATCAAAAGGACTCTTGTTGATCTTCCTCTACTGAAATAAGGACTATAAGTTGGGAAATTCCCATTCTTTTGGTTGGATGAGTGTGCACCAGAAAGAACTGTGAAGAAGAATGGATGTTGTAAATCTTTTCTAGTCCTCCGGCACTGCTTGTTTATTCGTTTAAACTCACCTCACAATAAATGCATTAGAAATTCTTTCCTGGAAAAGTGGGATAGTCTTAATTTGCCATGCACATATCAGCAATCAGTAGGATAAGCACTGGCCTATATACCAAATACCAAATTTAGCAGCCTAGTGAACAGACCGCAGCTGGATTATTCTTTACACAACGATCAGTTTTATAAGAGGATTTTTTCCCTCTGCTACATGCATGCAAACAGCATATAATAAGTCTGAAAAATAAATGCTACTGATAGACGTCAGGATTTACAGATGACAAAAGTGCAATTTAAAAGATGAAGACCACCGGCAATGGAAGAAATGGTAGTTTTGAACACTCTTGAAAGGGAATTTCCCAACCCACTGCCAAGACAGTAAACACAGAATAGACAGGACGAGTACACAAAGGGCGAATCAAGATTTTATAAGAACACGGTATAAAAGGAAATGATATTTCCCCAGGGTCTTAATTAATTGACATAATCAATTTGCATTAATGAATTTAAGCAAATATATTTATCACATAATGAGGTCTCTCAATTCCTTGAACATCAGTATGAGACCAAGACTCTCACTGTAAGGCTCTCATCAGTGGTTGGTAGGGTAGTGAGCATTTTTCAAACAGCTTTTATACCTGGAAGAAATATTTTAGAGGGAGTGGTGATCCTGCAGGAGGTGATGCATGAACTTAAGGATACAAAAACAAGTGGGGTTATCATCAAGTTGGATTTTGAAAAAGCGTATGATAGAGTTAATTGGAATTTTTTAGAGGAAGTTCCTCATAGAAAAGGGTTTGATATGAAATGGATTCAATGGATGAATAAAGTTGTTAGAGGGGGAAAGGTGTGCATTGATCTGAATGGTGAAAGAGGGGACTATTTTAGAAGCTTCAAAGGACTTAGACAGGGTGATCCATTGTCTCCACTGTTGTTTAACCTTGTAGCAGATGCCCTTTCTGCTATGTTATCGAGAGCCTGTGCTGCTGGGATGATTAAGGGGCTTGTACCACACTTAGTTGAAGGAGGGTTAACACATTTACAGTATGCTGATGATACTATTCTGCTCCTGCAGTTTGATTTACAAACTTTGCGAAATGTAGTAATTTTATCTTGCTATGAGGCTATGTCAGGAATGAAGATAAACTTTGAGAAAAGTGAGATTTTCTCAGTAGGTTTGTCTGCAGTGGAGATGAATGTTGCAGCAGAGATGTTGGGATGTAAAAGTGGAGTTCTTCCGATGAAATATCTAGGAATGCTGGTTAGTTGTCATAAGATATCAAAAGCACAAATGAGTTATGTTTGTGAGAAGACAGAGAAAAGACTGGGAACTTGGCAATGTGAGTATCTGTCATCAGGGGGAAAATCCGTTTTGATTGATTCTTGTCTGTCTAGCTTACCCATGTACACGATGGGTGTGTATCAGTTATATGAAGGCAATTTTCAGAGGTTGGATTCTATTAGAGCTAGATTCTTCTGGGAAGGGACAAGTAAGAAAAGGAAGTATCATATGGTTAAGTGGGGAGCTCTAAACAGGCCGAAGCAGTTTGGAGGTCTTGGTTTTATGGACATTAGAGTTATGAATACTTGTTTACTTGGTAAATGGATTGACAAGCTTGAAAGAGGAGATAATAGTTTGTGCTGTAACATATTGAGAAACAAATATTTGGGTCATAAAAGTATTTTCCAAGTTAGAAATAGGAAGGGCTCTCAATTCTGGAAATCTTTGTTGGATGTCAGAAAGTGGTTTCAAATGGGAAGGTGTATTAGGATAAAATCAGGGATGCAAACAAGGTTTTGGCATGATTGTTGGTTAGGAGACTGTGTACTGAAAGTAACCTTTCCTAACTTGTTTCATATTGCTGTTCGCCAAGACCTGGAGGTGGCAGAGGCATGGGTGGAAGGTCAGTGGTTTTTAGAATTTAGAAGGCAGTTGAATGGAATTTTGTGGGAAGAATGGAGCAATCTGATGTTGTTGTTAGATGAAGTTTCTTTGTCAGATGGCAGAGATGAGGTGTTTTGGGCTTTATAGAGATCTCAGCAATATTCAGCAAAATCACTTTATAACTTGATGACCTTTGGAGGGGTTCAAGATGTGCAAATGATGCTTATCTGGAAATGTAATATTCCTTTGAAGGTTAAAATTTTCTTATGGATGGCCATACATGATAGAATCCAGTGTGGGGTTCAACTGAAGAAGAAGAAATGGTTTGGACCGGAGGAATGTTTCAGTTGTGATAGACTTGAAACGTCGGACCATATTTTGTTTCAATGCCCCATTGCTGTATTCTTGTGGTCCTTTTTTCGTGAAAGTCTTAGTTGGTCATTGTCGCCAACAAGTTGTTCAGCGCTATTTTTAGAGATCTTGACAAAACTTAGAGGGAAAAAACAGCAGGTAACATTGTTCCTATGTGCAGGGGCGTTGTGGACCATCTGGAAGGCGCGCAATGATGTGGTGTTTAACAAGAAGACGATGACTTCCCCGGTGGCAATCATTTACAAGACGTTGATGGTGGTGAAATCTTGGCGTCCGCTCTTGAAGCCCAATCTGAAGCCTGTGGCGAACGAGATGATAACTCTAGTTGCTTCTAATGCCAATGTGGCAATGTAGCTGTGGCGAGTGTTTGCCTTTTGTCTGCTTTTGCTGGTCCGAATGTTGGTGGTTTCAAACTTGCTGTTTGGGTTTAGAGGTCTGATGGTAGATCTTTTGATGTGTAGTTTATAGAGTTCGTTGAAGGGTTTAGTGCTTAATCTGTAAGCTGGTTTTCCCAGCAGGATCTTGGGCTTTTGTTAAGCTTTCAATAAAAGCCGGGTGAATGCCTTTGATCTAAAAAAAAAAGTCCACTAGCATTGGGCAGCCCTTGATATGGAATCATGGTTTTAACTTTTAACCCACATACAGCATAGCAGGCTGATAACTTAATAGCATCCAGAACACCTTAACTGCCACGACATACAGTGGTGAGGGCATGGCATGCCCATGTCATAAACCTGGGTTGGAACCCATGGCGTGGCATCAGATGGGACACCCAGTCAAAAGAAACTTCATCAAACAAATGGCAAACTCGTCCCCAAATAGCCATTCATTCTGGTGATATCAACAATCCTACCTAGCAACAGAGCCTCAAGACTGTGTGAAATTTTGCAGACAAACATCCTCACAGAACAACTCTAATTCAACTAAATATTATGGAGAGAATGCCTTGGCTCATAGAAAAGGCAAAAAGCATACAAACATGCTTTGCGTTCCTAAGAATAAGATAAGACTCGATTATAAGAGGCCAATTGGGCCAACCCAGGTGAATCACCCCTGTTAGGGTCGATGGATGTGTACCTCTGTGTAACCCGTAGATCCGGTGTGAGCCTTCTCACCCTTTGCGCGTTATTCACCGCTCTGTCCATGACGCCGCAGCAGCTTGGACGCCGGTGTAGGGGCAGCTCCGGTCGGTGGCTGGCGAGGCGGCGAGGTAGCGATGCCGTGGAGATCCAGAGGGGACGGTGGTGACCCTGCGGGGACGGCAGCGATGGTGGTGGCGAGCACATCCGTCATCAGCAAAGACGCTTTAGGATCGGATTAGGGTTTCTCTTTTCGGTGGGTGTGGCGGCTCCAGTCCAACCTCGTAGTCCGAGCCCTCACCCCACATTCCTTTTATGTGTGCTTGCGTCTGACAGGCCCTCCAACCCGAGAAGTTAGGGTTGGGCTCCCCCGATCGGGAGCGAGATAGGGCCCAATAGGCCGTTGGGCCTATTGGTGGAGATCAACTAACATTCTCCCCTTGATCTCATTCCATCTTTTACTTTCATATCATTTGCTTTTGCTCATTCCATTCTGATTAGCTCATAGAGCATGTCTCATCGTCACGGTCCATTGCCGATAGACTTAATGGCTACAACTCACTACTGCATTACAAAATAGATACTTATCTTTGGGCCTTCTTTTGTCCAGGGAATATTTTAGGCTTTCCCTTAAACCCAAGCTAGCTACATGTTCTCTCAAACACCATGTCCTCTGAACATGTTGGGTGGTAAGCCTTTTGTAAGCGAGATCCGCGAACATCCTTTCTCTGTTCTTATATGCTCAAGACTTATGACTTGATCCCGGACTTAATCTTTCACAACATAATACTTTATGTCAATGTGTTTGGCAGCACCACTTGACTTATGTTGTGAGCATACTGTACTGCCAGATTATCATCGCAGTATTACTTTAAGTGGTCTATAGATGTCGTCAACCACCTTTAAACCGGGTATGAACTTCGTTAGTTAGTTCACCGCCTGTTGTTTTATAACTGCTACAAACCGTCATACATTGTGGACGATGTAGTGACAGCTTTGCTTTGAGCTTTTCCATGAAATAGCTCCCTTTGCGAGATGATAGAAAATCCACGTGCGATATGCATTCACTCTCGCATAATCGAATCTGAATATCCCACCATGTGGAGTGAATCGATCTTCTATATGTCATCATGAGGCATTTCGTTTCCTTGCAAATAACATAAGACTTTCTTTATCAATTTCAATGTTCTATTCGAGTTCCTCCGGAATCGCCAAGTAAAACCCGGTAACAAATGTCAAGTCGTAGGCGTGTTCATACTTGAGCATGTTGTAAGCTTCCGACGGTACCAAGCATATGGAACCACTTTCACTTTATCGATTGAGCTCATATTGGTTCTGGGGGCATTGAAAATCCCCACATCTGTATCCGCCTTTGACTATAGGAGCGGTGAGGGACTACATTTGTGCATACTTGAATTTCTTTAAGATCTTTTTCATGTATGCCTTTTGTGACAAATCCTTATACCCTTTTCTTTTATCTTGGTGAATCTCGATCCCTAGAACGAACGAGGCTTCGCCAAGATCTTTTATATCAAATTTCTTTGTCTCCAGTAGTAGACTGACATCACTACTAGCAAGTAAGATATCATCTACATACAGGACAAGGAAGATAAATTTCCCATTCTTAAACTTTGCATAGACACAATTGTCCTCTACATTCTCTTTTAAAACCCAAAATTCTTTATTGACTGATCAAACTTCAAGTACCACCGTCTTGAAGCTTGCTTTAATCTATAAATAGATTTCTTTAAGCGGCATCCCATTCGTTCTTTTCCTTCCATGACAAAACCTTTCGGTTGTGCCATGTAAACATTTTCCTTCAAGTCTCCGTTGAGAAATGCCTTCTTTACATCCATCGATGTAATTTTTCAATCGTAATGTGCCACTAATACCATTATGATTACGAAGGAAACTTTACATGAGACTGGAGAAAAGGTCTCATTGTAATCAATTCCTTCTCTTTGCATATAGCCTTTCGCCACAAGTCGCGCTTTATATTTCTCTATATTCCTTTGAGAGCCAAGTTTTGTTCTGTAGACCCATTTACAGCCTACTGTTTTGACTCTTTTAGGAATTATTTCCAAATCCCAAACTTTATTGACATTCATTGTTTTCATTTCATCTTCCATAGCCTCAAGCCACTTTGATGAATGATCACTTCTCATGGCTTCTTCAAATGAGGTGGGATCATCCTCCATTTGAAATTCCTCGATGTTGTACACTTCATAATCAAATGAGAATAAGCGATTTTCTAACTCTTTGAGACCTTCTAGGGGCCTCCACATTTGGCACAACTTTTGTTTGAGGTCATTGTTGCTCCCCTCATGTGTGTGGCAATAGGTTCTATAGAATCTCAAGAAACAGGTTCCTCATTTTCATTCATTGTTGCCACAGTGAAATAACAACAGTCTCAGGCACCATAGTATCTAGCCTTTGTTGTGCAAATGCTTCAATGAGTAGTGAGAAAATTGGCTCATTAATCATTGGGTGGGCGCTTACACCCGCTTCACTTCAAGGTCAATTTCTCGAGCTACCATGCTCCCCTCATCAATTAACCTCTAGGAAGACAAAGATGTCTCGTTTCCACAAACTTTGTATATCTCTCTCGGACGGTGAGAAGCGAAAACCTTTTGACTTTTCTGTGTAGCCAATAAAATAGCAACTTCTTTGTTTTGGGATATAACTTTCCAATGTTTGGGTTAAACACTTTAGCCTCAAGTGAGGCTCCCCACACACACACGCAAGTGGTTAAGTGAGGGTATTCTTTACATCCACAACTCATACGGTGTTTTGAGCACCGACTTACTTGATACTCTTTTGAGAATATGAATGAGGTTTTTAACGCCTCCATTCACGAGTTCGATTGTAAGGTGGAGTAACTTATCATACCGCCCACCATATCCATCGAGTGCGATTGATTCTTTTAGCTATTCTATTTTTTTGAGGTTCGCCTTGTAGAATCTTGGGCTACTTTGCCATTCTTTTAGGGTATCTTGACCGTATGTAGTACTCCCCTACCATTGACCACGACTATCTTAATCTTTAATATCTTAAATTTATCCAATACATATTTTCTTTCTTTGATTGGATAAATATCGTCATAATGGGGAGTAAACATCTGTGAATGGATCATAACCATCCACACTCTTTCTGCAGGAAATCGACCACATATGTCGGTGTGAATAATCAGTAAAATTCCTACGCTTCATTTAGCATCTTTCTTAATCTTCTTTACATACTTTTCTTTTATGCATTCTCTTGCATTGTTCTAAATCTGAGAGCTCTAATAGAGGAAGAATATCATTCTTAACGAGTCTTTCTATTCTCCCCTCGAAATATGGCTTCGAGCGATAGTGCCATAATTTCGACAACGCATCGTGAGCTCTCTTATGCCACCATTTTCGGAGTAACACTCTGTCACCAAATGCTTTTATCAATTGAGTAGCATATGTCTTTGAAGTGCCGATGGATGACTCTTTATTCTATCGAGATACTTGGTGACTGTGTCACATTTTTATATTGAGCCCACAATTGTAGGTTCAATCATGTTCTTTATCACAGTCAAACATTTTCTTGTTTGCAAGTGACCCACTTCCTATGAAGATCTTTCGGATTTAAAATCCCTTTCTTTAGTTGCCCAAGTGGCATCTTTTGTCTTCCTCACCGGTGCCACAAACTTCGGTGGAACACGGTGAGGTGACTACCTAGTTCAGATTCACCTTAAACAAGATGAAAACCAGGTCAAAACTTTTCTTAATCATAAAATAACATCATTTGCATGCCTTGATTCCAACGTTGGTCAAAATCAAAACATACAATTATTCTTATACACTAATTCTACATCACCGTTGAGAGAAATAGAATTAATGCATAAGTCTTTAACTTTCACAATCGTTTCTTACACACTAATTCTACATCACCGTTGGGCGAAGTAGAATTAATGCTTAATTCATTAAAATTAACAACTTTTCTTATACACTAATTCTACATCACCGTTAGTAAGTAGAATTAATGCATAAAACACTACTAACATTACGATATTGTTATTAACAACGTTGGTCAAGAAATAACAACATCATAATCATATCAAAACTCTTTTCTCCAATTAAATACCACATTGGTTCAAAATAACCGGAGAATCAACAATTTCTTTAGCAAATGAATAACTTTCTTTTTCTCCAATTAAATACCACGTTGGTACAAATTAATCGGAGATTTAAACAATTTCTTTGACCGTGGAGGAAAATTTCTTTTTCTATTTTCTTTAATCCATTA